CACTTGGAGTTGTAGTTGTAAGTGACAGAAATATCCGTCAGTCGCAGTTAATGGGATAAGTGTGAAGTTTGAGCCATATTAAGTGTTGAGTCAGATAAATTGATGATGTTGGCTTCTTGGTGGATTTGTTGTTCTGATGTATGGTTATTTCTAAATTTCAAGTTTTGCTGATAATTTTTGTTGAAGTTTTATGTCTTGTTTTGATGCATGGTTGTTAATGATTATATACAAGTAATTGAAATCTTTTTCTGTGAAAATCTTGGTGAAGTCACTTTGTTATGTGATCTCATAGAATTAAGGTCTTATTTGAAATTTAGATATCTTTAACTCTTTAGTTCATTGTATTTTTGTTTATTTTTAAGTTTAAACATTCTTTTTCAGTAACATTGATAATTCATTGAGTTATTTGGTCATGGTTATTTGAATTATTTTTAATTAGAGAAACTTTGGAATGAGTCCCTAGGCTTAATTTGAGTTTTAAAAATGGACAACAATGAACAAGAGGTACATATAAAATGCATGTCTTAAATTTTTGTTGAAATAACTTTTGAGTATTAGAAATAAGGATCCCACTGGATGATTAAATTTGACACTCTGATCAGCTTTACAATGTAAATGTTTTTTAAGCAACTAAAACTTTGATATTTCAGCCCATAGAAGCAGCCATCTTCAGGTAATGTATGATTAGTAACAATTACAAATTCAAAGCATTATGGTTATTCCTGGTGGAGCGCATGTTGAATTATAGATATTTAATATAGTTTATAATACAAGTCATGATGGGGGCCTGTCTATTCTACATAACACTTATTTGGTCAGACAGTAGAACAAAATATAGGGTTTCACGTTCAAATTCCAGTCTGGAAAGATTTCTTAGTTTGCAAATCTATTCAGTACAAAAAGTTAGAGTACTAGATCTAACTAGAAAAATTTTAAAGGTGAGTTTAAAAATAATAATTGCTCTTAAGTTACCGTTTAAACATAAAAAGCTGGCAAAAATATTAGAAAACCGTTAGGCCTAAGAATTGTTGTGATAACAAGTTAACTGCAGATATTTATTTTTTACATTGATTAATTAGTCCATTGTGGCTCGAAAGCATAGGTGGGTAAAAAATAGGCTTTGAACATTTAAACTGTAAGTTACACTATATTACAAAAGTACATACTGCATATATAAATAATGTTTCATAGAATCTTTTGTCTCTCATCATACAGCCTAATTAATTGGTTCTGGTATTGAATGAAAAGCTTATTGAGCATTAGTGACATGTAGGAGATAAAGATAGATCTAAACTACTATTTTTTGCACACAATGATTTCAAGTTGCAATGGACAAGTTAAAAGGAATGAGGGAAAGAAAACCTCTGTAGTTATAGTTTTTATAACTATTACACTTAAGCTGGAGATAATTTTTAATATAATAGCTTAAGTTACAGCCATTTTATTTCAACATCATAAAATTTAATTCTATGTTGTTTTCTTAAGAATTTTAACAATAACACCTTATTTTATCCCAGAAAGTGTAATACACCTTAATTACATTAATTGGTTTTGACAGAAAGAACAATTATGAACTTCTTGTCCAACTTTTTATCAGGTTTAGTATCTATCATATGTTATTACTGCCTCCATGAAGGATGACAGAAATGCATTACACTTTCCAAAATGAATGATTTTTCCACCAAAACTTAAATATATTCTACACACTAATAAGAAATTGCATTTTTATTCTACTAAATTTCTAAATAAAACCTAAAAGCAAATGTTGACATATTTTTATACTAAAAGACAGTTGAATCTCGCCATGTACTTTGATACAATTGTTGATAAAGCTTCTTGAAACTTTACTGTATTATAGTTATTCTGCAGAGATCATGAAAAATACATCAATAACAATGAATAATAAATGTTTTTAAAATCTTACACTTGGTTTTCAGTATAGATTAAAGTAAAATACATGCAAGTTATTAGTGACAACAGAAATTTGATTTTATACAATTGGAAACAAGTTACATTACTTAATGTATAGAGATTCTTTTAATTTATGATAATATTAGAAATACTTTTTCATCTATGCACAGCTCTCTTTGGATAAACTTCATCCACTGCTGAATTCAAGTAATAAATCAGAATTTTAAAATCTTTACTTGTTAATAAAAGCAAACTGTTATATAAAACTTTTTACTTGTTTATTGTAAAACTAAGCCTAATAACACTGTTATTTGTATTTTGCTGCCTGGTTATCAGACTTCAGGAACAGGAGGCAAGTAAAGGTATGGATTCTTTGGAGACGGGATGAATTGTGATTTATGGATTTCATAATAACCATATCAGTACATTGCAGGAAGATGAAAAAAATACATTAAAAAAAAGCACATATACACAAATGAAATGTGTTGGTTAAAGTAAGATGTTAATATTTATAAGTAAAAAAAAAATTATAAACTCAAGGCTTGAGTACAGTAAACTTTAAATTTGTTTTTCTTGACCAGTGAATGTGAAATCATGTTTTTATTTCAGTTTAGTCAACAAAAAAGGTTGCTTTTTGGAAACATATTTAAAATTTTGTTAGTTTTTTGTTAACTGGCGACTAAGGTTTAATTTCTCTAGATTAATAATATCCTGTTTCATTCCTATTTGTATGCATACTGTTCAAGACCTTAACCTTACAGAGCATGGCCTAATGGTAGGTGTACTTTGACTATGAATTCAAGGATCCATGGTTTGAAACTCATTTTCACAAATACACTCTCTGTACCTTGGGGCGTAGGTACATTATAATAGTGATGGTCAAATCCTACTATTCAATCAATTGGGTAATCCAGTAAGAGTTGTAAGTAGATGCCTTTCAGTAGCTGCCTTCCTTCTAATATATATCAGTTCAGTTCAAAACCAGGCATGGCTATGTGCAGACAGTCCTTGTGCGACTTTTTGTGAAACAAAAACAAGTTCTAATTTTATTGTGTTTACTTAAACCTACTTGTCAATAATTGACCATTAGAAACAGATGCTACTATAATACATTTCATAACGCTTCTTGATTTCTATGTTTTTTTAAGTATATTATATTATTTCTGGCAGACTGTGAACCAGGCACATTTGGAATCAACTGTAGAGAGAAATGCCAGTGTAAACATGGTGGAAGATGTGATGTCAGAACTGGAGCTTGTCAGTGTCGTCCAGGAAAGATTGGTCCTACATGTAATCATGGTAAGTATATTTTGGTCAGACTAATACTGGCTGCAAAAAAGAAATCAAATAATTGTATGATCACAAATTGTTTTTTGTAAAAACCAAAAAGTGTTTGTAAAGAATAGCCCAAAGATCAAATAATTTCTCATAACACATGTGAACTGAATTAAGATTTGTTATTGCTCTTTCAGAATGTCCACAAGGCTTTTACGGACAAGACTGTAAAAAACCCTGTCTCTGTCAAAATGGAGGATCTTGTGATTCAGAAAGAGGAGTTTGTTTGTGTGCTCCAGGATATATTGGTGAGAAGTGTGACAAAGGTAAGATGGCTTTCATGAAACTGTAGTTATACTTTGATGAACAACTATACTGAAGTTTTCCTGTATAAATGTTGATGATAATTCTATGATAAGAGACTTTCAGTGCATACTAGGGTTGCCAGATGTCCCATATATATGGGATTGTCCTTTATTTCATTGCCTTGTTACCCAACTACAGGATTTTCTGGGCACAAAGAGGCAGTGTCCCGCAACCCTAATGCATATCAAAATATTTGTTTTAAAGAACAGATATCATTGTACATATGTTAAAATAAATATGGCATGTCAGGTTTCTTACTCTTGTAAAAAACAATTTTTAATGTAACATTTATAAATGGGTTATGATTATTGAGGTGCATTATTTTATGTTTTTTTATAAGAATCAATAAGTACATTCTATTTTAAATAGTATAAAGACAGTTTCTTGTAATAATTCATTCTCTTCAGTGTAACTATTGAAACAAACATGATGTAACATTGATACCCCCCTTTTTGTTCCTGTTTTTTATTTTAAGATTTTTTAAAACTTATTCTTTATTACTAGTATGTCCAAGTGGTCAGTATGGAAAGAACTGTAATTATCACTGTCATTGTGAACAAGGAGAATGTGACCCAGAAACTGGACGATGCCAGTGCTCAAATGGTTATATGGGAAATAGATGTCATCAAGGTAACAGTGTTTATGGGCCGAATACGGCCTTCTAACACACAAAATGGAGACAAGTTGGGAGATACGAATTTCAGTATAATGTTTGATCTTAGATCTTATTGGTTATAATCATGAACATAAAAATGTTTTAAAAAAAAAAAGGTATAGAAATCCATAGAAAATGTGCTAAAATATAAAATGTCTTGGAAGCCATGTTATAGTAGAAGAATAGGATTCTGTTTTAAAGATATCTTGAAGATTTACATTATAAAACGTAAAAATATAAAAAATATTTTACGATATTTATGTAATGTGAAAAACACTCTTAGTCGTAATCGGGATATACGTTTACGCTTGTAGCCTAACAATGGTGAAAACTCAGGCACTTTAACTGTAAAGATTTAAGATCTAGATACGCAATGAATAAGTTATAATAAACCTTTTTTTTAGAGGGGTCATATATTAAATGCTCAGAAACATTATTATTATAGCGAAATATGGTTATGATAGTAATGTGACGAATTATCAATAATGTATTATGATCTGAAATAAACTAATTTATCTTCTTTTTGTGAATAATCTTTATGAGCAACAACATATGTTGAGATATGTGCGCTTTTAGTGTTAACTGTGATACAACAACAATTATTACAGGGTGTATTTTAACTTTAATATATCTCCGAAACTAGAATAATCAAAATTATACTTAAAGTTAAAATACATTATAAAGAATGAAAAATCTTAGGTATCATTTAATAAAAAAATATTTCAAATGTATATGATAAATTTCAAGTTTATTGATTTTTTTCATTTGATAGCTTTATTACATGTTTTTTTTTTACATAATTTTAATAGTATATATACATTGATGTTTTCATGTTCAATTTTTCATTAATTGTAATATATTGTAGTTTTGGAAAATGCTAAAATTAATATGAAAACGTATAAATGTAAAAAAAAAAATATATCTGTAATTTTTTTTACCTCTTGAGAAAATATGTATTATTTGTGTGAAGTTAATATCTATAATATTTTTTTACTTCAGAATGTCCTTCAAATACATTCGGCCCAAATTGTGAGCTAGAATGTGGTTGTCAGAACAATGGGGAATGTGATCCCGTCACTGGTTGGTGCAACTGTCCTGCTGGATACTATGGTCAAAAATGTGAACATGGTGAGCTTTTAACTAGCTGTTAGAATTTGATATTTTTTTAACCAAAGGCATGTTATTTTGACTACATCTTGTATATTGATTTGGCTCTACAACAAGCACCCATTGTTACCTTTGTTGGCAGTACAATTCATAGCTCTGTGTAATAATAATAATAAATAAAGTTAACAAATCCACTACATGGAAAAGAAAAAATATCACTCTTTTTTGATATTTCTGGATCTATAGGTGAAAGTTATACATATACTGACTTGATGATCAACTCGTTTGTTGACTATTAGGTAGTTTCATCAATTCTTATGTGATAATGATGTTACAAAAGCTCACCTTAACTGTAATTTTATTTTCCAGTATGTCCCAAAGGATGGTTTGGAAAGTACTGTCAGAAGCTATGTGGATGTCTTAACAATGCAAACTGTGATCATATGACTGGTCAATGTCATTGTTCACCAGGATTCACTGGAGATAAATGTGAAAAAAGTAGGCATAACTATATTATGCTTTAAAGATTTATGTTTTACAGTATCATGGAATGGTGTCCTTGGAATTTGGGAAAGTATAATAAATATAAAAACCTATACTACCAGTTTAAACTAGGTTAAAACTATTTTGATAGTGAGCTTTCAACCCTATCCCAGACCTGAATAGAACTGAGAATTTGCTAATAAGGTAATTCAAATATATGTTTTGTGTCTCATTATGTTTTATGTTGATTAGAAAAATATACACACTTACCTGTCCAAGAAAATTGGAGAAAAATTATAATTAAAAAAAGATGTAAATACTTCCACGTGGATGCATTATGGGAATGTTAAGTCAATAGGAAGTTTATTGTCAGTTAATCTGTGTTTAGTTTAACTAATTTTTAAGACGTATGATGTATATATTAAAACAGACTTGTTCCTAAACACTTCTGGGATAATTTGTTGACTGTTCTAGTATTAGATCTGAAAGGTCAGTTTTATAAACATAGCTGAACATGTAGACATTCCATTTGTTTTCCGAGTAATTATGTTTAGCCTATCTTGAATGAAGTGTTATATTGCTTTGCTGCATCCAACAGGATAATTGTATACTTATTTTCACTGAACTGAATTTGAGACGAGGATGTGAAAATAAAAACTGAACCTGTAAACAGTAAGTTATTTCTTTCAGGTTTTCTTTAAAAAAAATTACTGTGCCATTACTGCTGCATTACATACACACTATTATACATTTTCTGATCACGTAAAAGCTATATCTTTTAAAGAAGGTTTTAAGCAGTACACTGACGTGTTAAATACTTTAATATGAATTGCTGCTTTCTATGTAGTTTGGAGAGAATTTTCTAATTTTATGTGCTTGGATGTTATGAACTCTGCACAAAATTTGAAATATCATCAGCAAAACAGAAGGTAGTAGCATTCCATATGAAACTAATCAATAAAACTTAAAAGCTAACTAAAGCAGAAAAGCAGTTTTATATTCAATATAAAACTTATATCTTGAAACATTGCAACAAAAATTAAAATTTATTCTGAGTTTTAATGAACGACTAGCAGAGTTTAAACACAGTGCTAGCTTCCTTTGCAATAAAAATGTGGCAACACTTGCTTAATAAACAAAAACATAGGTTTATATCCTGCTTATTCTAAGTTTTTTTTTCAGGAAATATAAAGAATAGTGAACCAAACTAAATGCTAGAAACTGTAAGATATTTATTTCATTTATCTTGTAGTAAAAGTAACAAAACTCTACTCTTTAAATCCATCATACAGCATGCTCTACTGGTCATTACGGTGACGACTGCTTGTCATCATGTCATTGTGGTAACCACAGTTGTGACTCGGAGACTGGGGAATGTGTATGTCCTCCCGGAAAGAAAGGGGCATTTTGCAATGAAGGTATGTATTATGGTTAGCCATGTTAATTTTTTAAATTATAGTAAAAAGACTTGATTAGCCATTACTGACTAGAATGAAATACACTTAATAAGTTTTGTAAAAAAAAAATAGTTTCAAATATAGGTTATGTTTATTTCAGTATATTTAAGGTTATTTAGATGTGAATTATAAGGACACTAAATTATTGACGAACTCTAGTCTCACATTGGACATGATTTAAATCCTTGTTTTGCGATTATTGTTACTTTTGATCTTTTAAGGTTTCGTTATGTTGTGATTGTGACTGCACTTACAAAAAAATTAAATATTATTTTTGTCTTTGTCAATATAGCTGAACCACTTGACTGTATGTGTATATGAATAGTGACAGAAGTTAAATAATATAGGTTTCAAGTGCTATTAAAAGTTAAATACGTATAACTGCAGTCAAGCACAGCATCTTTTGATGTATATTTTATTTTGAGAACATTTGAAAGCGGTTATGGTTCTAAGACTTCTCCCCAATTTCAGTTATGATTCAATGTTTTAGAAATGGAAATTATTTGTTAACTTGTATACTGTAAAATTTAAACTTCATCGATATATGTTTATTTAATTTTTGATATTTTGTGGGGTAAGTAAACTTTTCCAGAATAATTGCTAAGCACTTGTTTTACAGGTTGGAAACCACTTCCCATCTATTGAAAAATTTAATGATAAATACGCTTGAAAGCTAATAACAAATGAATGTACATAGACAGAGAAAATAGCTGCACTTACATTTTTAAAGGAATGCAAACACACTACAATCTGTACGATACCATACTTTCTTCTAACTACAGTTATAACTCAAACTAGTAAAATAACCTAAGACAGATATTACTCTATATCACAGTGGAACTACTATTAACCCTAAAATTAATGGCGGAGCCCTGAGCTGTTGACTTTTGAAAAACATTTTTCTAAGTTATCTATGCACCAAATTGCTTGTGAGCCCGTTATGCTGTTGATTACAGGGTCTCAAGTAATGTAGGAGTCACATTAAACAATTAATCCCACAACTTTTTACAAAGGCCCTTCACATTAAGTGTTGTAACAGATTAAAATGTAAAATTACTCGTACAATATGTGAACCCACCAATAATAAATAGCACAAAAACAAGTTGGTAATTTGAAGATAAAAGGATAGGTTGAAAAATATATATCTTATTTAAAGTATCATGGGAAATTTCCCCTAACGTATGTATTTAGGACTACTAATCACTGCACAGGGAAGAGTCATTGGGCTTGCAGCCTTATAATTTCTGTTTATGTGTAAATGGTATGAAGACTTTATGCAGAATCGAAATCTAAACTGATACATTTCTCATAGCAGAAACTTTGGTCAAGGTTTTTAGATGCCCTGTGTTACAAGTATTATAACTTACCCAACTCTTGAGTAATGCCAGGACAACTAAAATCGTGAGAAAGGTCGATTAGGACTTCTTTTATTAATGTGATCGTTCCTAAGAAGTCATAAGAATACACAACATTTTTATTTACTCATTACATGATATAATGTTCCAAAAAATTACTTTTCTATAGACACCAGCTGCAATGTAATCTGTATATGAAAATTACATTTATAATAAAAAAGCATGAAAGCTTATTTTATGTATTTAACGAGAGTTTATACATACACAAAAAAAAAGGTTTGTTCTTCCTACTATTTTCATACTTGGTTTTATTTTTCCTGAGAATACAATTCAAAAGAAGTATCCAACATTTTTCTTCTTCTTGAATTTACCGCTGAAAATTATTATGATACTTCTGTTCATTTCAGAATGTCCACATGGAAAATATGGTCCCAAATGTTCATTCAGGTGCCAGTGTTCCAATGGAGAAAGATGTCACCCAGTGACAGGCAAATGCTTATGCTCAAATGGGAGGTTGGGACCCCACTGTGAACTTATACTAAGTATGCCCATTAAATTATTTATATTTATGTCACATTAACAAGTTCATTACCAAGCCAATCGCACCTACATCTTGCTTTAAAACGCATTGTTTCTAAATCGGTAAAACATCCCGAAATAATCACATTAACAAGTATATTTTGTTTGAGGCCCCATTATGAGCCTCTACACATGAGGTTATTAATTTTTTTACACTTACAGCATGTTTAAGTAACAGAATTCTTTTTTAGAAATTCAAATATGTAAAACCTTTTTTTTTCTACTTTATAAAAGTCGATATTTCATTTTTGGAATTTTTATTTTAAGTCATCCTTTTCATTATTTAATTTCTAGAATGTATAATTATCATTTACTTTATGTTTTTCATCATACATGTTAGTTATTGTTGGCCTTACTAATGCACATTGATGTAACGAGTTATGGGTTAAATACTCATCTGGTAGTAATAACTGATTATTTATGGATTCAACACTCTTGATGAGAGTTTCATTACTATGAATAAAGTGAACTAAATCCTATTCAGAATCATATGAGTCAAAGTACATTCTTTAAAATGTATTAAACTATGGAAGAACTGATATAATGAAAGTTTATAAAACCTTTAATAGCTTGTGTATATCAGGGAGAAGTGAATTTTTGTTCCTAGTGTACATTAAAAATAAAGCAAATATAATTACAACCATTACAATATATTGAATGTTAAAGTATAAAAAAAATGTTTAGGATTCACTAATGATGAATAATTTCTATATGTTGTTGTTTCTAATGGTAGAGAGTTTAAGAAGAAACTTTTATTTTTAAGTTATAATAATTTTAATACAAGAAATATGAAAAAAAATAGTTAAAAGCCACTTCTTAAAGTCCTTAAATCTCTTTTAGTGTATTTAGAATATACCAAAAATCTTTTTTTATTTATAATTATGCATTTGAAACATTCTAGTCATGAAAGTTCTCTATTCAAACTTTCAACTTCATCAACAGCACGTGACAGTATCCATGTTTTAAGTTAATAAAGCACAATTAAACTTTAAGCTTAAACCAGAAATAGCACAGTGAAATTATCGAGTGAATGGCTAGTAATTAATTAACTGAAGTAAAATAGTGTAATAGTTTTATCTGTTGTCTCATAACCATAATATCCAAAAATCATATTTTGAAACAAAATTTTTTTATTTTTAATAGAAATCCAAGCATTATATTATGCTTATAGTAAATATTGAAGCCATTTTCTGTTGCTTAAAATCTTGAACATGAGCTCTGAGGAATTGTATGTAAATGTAGTATATTTATTTTGCTCTATTTGGACAGTTAACTTTTCAGAAACATGGGAATCTAGGAGCTAAGTCTACAGTCTCACCAGGCACAGCACTGCCAATATTGGACGACAACAGATCTGCTATCACATTTCTTAATGTGATGAAAATTCAACACTGTAAAATAATCTATGAAAAAGTTCATGTGACTGTTTCCTTTTAGACCTCTGTTTTGTCTTACAGTCCTTAACCAATAAATGTACCTCTGAATATTTCATGTATGTATAAGAAGAACACTGTTTGTGAAAAGAAATTTTGTGTATACCAAAACCCTGTTGACAGTATACTGAACTAAACAATCGTTATTTTATATACTTTCTGTTGTCACCAATGATTATATCTCAAAGTGTACTGTTTCTTTGTTGAAGTGGAACAAATATTAAGCAGTTAAAGTCCATGCACAAAATAAACACAAGTCTACTGATCTGTACAGTGAAGCCAAGATTATAAACATTTTTAATATAACTTTCATTAGTATGTGTCATTATATGATTTCCTCTATGTTTCAGTGTTATAATATCATATTGACTCAAATAATGTTGACACACACCCAGATATGTTTTGTCGCTTCTCTTTAAACCCAAACTCTGTGTTTTCCTTTCTTGTTTTATTATAATAGTTATCAAAGTAAACAACCATACATTCTAGTTTTATTTATCTATGAAGAACATTTCACATGTTCTTGTTGTATGCTTGTTTGACGAACTTCAGATTATTTGTTCTTTCTTAGTTATAAAGGTATGAAATTCTAGATAAATACTTCAAATCTGTAACATAGGACTTAGGAAAATACCTAATTTAGTACCAAAATGAATGCAGAATTCTTACAAGTGCAAGACCCCCAAAAGTTCTGATCTATGATTAGACCAGCTTGTACAGAATGTTATCCTAGTTGTAATCCATATTTTAAAAGTAAAAGTTAATGATTTACAATAAGTTTTTTTAATTATGCAACTTCTAAATGTTGCACAAGATTTTGTATGTTTATCTTAAAGAATAAGATCCGAGTCTAAAAAGTTTATCAAAAACTTTATGCAGCAAGAACCGTAGAACAAAAGAGGTGAAGTTATAGCCATTTTAATTATCATTTGAACTTTTTCAGTTGGTTTATTAGCTAACACTATCAGATTCATTAATCAGTTACAGTTCTAAAGATTTTCAGATACTCTGAGCATTAAGGAATGGATCTTATATCACTGTTATTAATTAAAAATAAGTATACGTAGGGTCAAGGATGAAGTTTGGTTACTGTTTGGCTGAATGGTAAAAACCTCGTGGTAAACTGATGTTTTGTTTAATAAACACGAGACAACATCATCCTGAAAGTCTGGATCGTCAAAGTCTGCTACTTTTTGTTATGCTCAGATTTTAAAATTAGGTTTTATTAAATAATGGTTTGTTAAGATAAAAGTTCAAAATAAGTTTGTGTTCATACACACATCTTCACTTGCATTAAATAAGTTTGTGTTTATACACACATCTTCACTTGCATTAAATAAGTTTGTGTTTATACACATCTTTGCTTGCTTTATGCCACGTTGATTATTGTGAGGTAAATGTTTTTATACATTTCAATGCTTAAATTGTAGAAGATTTATATCCTGTATTTTTAAAATGTTGATGTTATTTACTAATAAAGAACAATGTAAATTGATACTCTACTTGTAGGCAATAAAAGCCCTTCTGCCTTACCTTTTTTTTTTTCTGTTTTCAAGTAGCATGATACTTTCTTCCAAGTGTTACATGGATATTTTATACTTAATTTCTTTATGTGCTATACAAGTTTATAGTGTGATGAATTACATTTTAAAATTTACGTTGGTCCACATATGATTGTAAATTTCATCCTAAATTAATAATATACTTTGTTCTGCTTTTTCTTAAGTGTTGTTTTCCAGCTTTAGTAGCAGTTTAAAACCTGTTGTAATTTACTGTTATTTCATAGTTTTGTTTAACCCATAAGTTACTTTGTCTTAGTGGTCAAGTTTAAACAAAAATGTTTTAATTATGCCAGTTATATACTTACATATAGATTATATCATTACTATAACTGTTTGTTTGCAAAAATTAGTGATGAAAGCAGCTGCATTGTTTTGGTAACGTAGTACTGATCTTGTGGTTCCGTTATAAGCTAAGTTTTTGTGTATGTTACATTGTTTGTTGTAGAATTCACTTTGTATATATGGTGGATGTTATTATTGTCTATTAACAAGACGCTTTATAATTCAGTACGTTTCATATATTGTCTGTTGTAATATTAACATGCAAGAAGTGGGTACACACCATCTCACTTGTTGATAATGCAAAAAGTCTCCAATTCAGTTAACACTTTCACAAGAACTATACAGAATTTATTTTTTCACTGATTACTTTTTTTATTATTATAATTTAGTTTTATTTACTTGTAATATTAAATAGAAACCTACAGTTTTATTAACGTATCTTAAAGCTAATTAGAATTTTTTAAAAGTCTTCACCCTTATTATAATTTAAGTATGCAATGAACTTTAAGAAGATGCTATAGTTTGTACAAATCAGGTAAGTGCTTATAAAATTGAAATTATTTTTAAACCTAATTTTCTGATGTTTCAGTTATCACATTAAAAATACAGAGACTAAAAGCAAGAGCTCAATGATATTGGAACATTTTACATTAAAAGAACGGGCCTTCAGTATCATTCATTGTATGAAGAACTTGTATCATGATAATTTAAATAAAAAAGATGTTTTCTGTGGGTTTTTCAATATTAATTTTTGTACTGTGTACAACAGCATGTGTGTGTAATTTTACTAAGCCTACTATATATTATTTATCCAAATGAAACTTGTAGGGATGTCAAATGTCTGGAAGAGATACATTATAACACCACAGATGTTGAGAAAGGTCTATCCTGAAAAGTAAGAATTAAAAGTGATAATTTCTACCTACAACTTCAACCCTATGGACAGCCACAGCAAACTTACAATAAAACGAATCAAAATATGTTAACAATGTTGAAATTAAGACTCTCTGCATCAGGTGATTCTTACAAAATGTTAATGTTCTAACAAAAGTACCAGATAAAGCAAGGTTTGAGAAGACTGACAGAAATAATAATGCTGAAATTAAGCCTCTTTGCATCAGGTGATTCTAACAAAAGTACCAGATAAAGCAAGGTTTGAGAAGACTGACAGAAATAATAATGCTGAAATTAAGCCTCTTTGCATCAGGTGATTCTAACAAAAGTACCAGATAAAGCAAGGTTTGAGAAGACTGACAGAAATAATAATGCTGAAATTAAGCCTCTTTGCATCAGGTGATTCTAACAAAAGTACCAGATAAAGCAAGGTTTGAGAAGACTGACAGAAATAATAATGCTGAAATTAAGCCTCCTTGCATCAGGTGTTT